TACTAATAGTGGTGGCAGTATAACGAAGATTAAGCATATATTGGTGACAGTATAACAAGGCTTTACTGTTAAATGGGTTCTGTATAACGAAATTTTAGGGATAATGAAAGCAGAATCACGATATTTTACTGAAAATGGCGCCAGTATAACGATATTTTACCGTATAATGGCGTCAGTAATACGATGTTTTGCCGTATAATAATGGCAGTATAACGATATTTTACCGCATAATGATGGCAGTATCACGATATTTTACCGTATAATGATGGCAGTATAACGATGTTTTACCGTATAGAGATGGCGGTATAACGATATTTAACCGTATTATGATGGCAGTATCACGATATTTTACCGTAAAATGGCGTCAGTATAAAGATGTTTTACCGTATAGTGGGGTCAGTATAACGATAGTATACCGATGTTTTACCTATAATGATGGCAGTATAACGATGTTTTACCTATCACGAGATTTTACTAAGAATTGTGGCAGTATCACGATATTTTACGGTGTAATGATGGCAGTATAACGATATTTTACCGTATTTTGATGGCAGTATAACGATGTTTTACCATATAATGATATCAGTATCACGATATTTTGTCGTATAATGATGGCAGTATAACGATGTTTTACCGTATAATGATGGCAGTATCACGATATTTTACTGAAAATTGTGGCAGTATAAAGATGTTTTACCTATAATGATGGCAGTATACCGATGTTTTACCTATAATGATGGCAGTATAACGATGTTTTACCTATCACGAGATTTTACTAAGAATTGTGGCAGTATCACGATATTTTACAGTGTAATGATGGCAGTATAACGATATTTTACCGTATTTTGATGGCAGTATAACGATGTTTTACCATATAATGATTGCAGTATCACGATATTTTACCGTATAATGATAGCAGTATCACGATATTTTGTCGTATAATGATGGCAGTATAACGATGTTTTGTCGTATAATGATAGCAGTATAACGATGTTTTACCGTATAATGATGGCAGTATCACGATGTTTTGTCGTATAATGATAGCAGTATAACGATGTTTTGTCGTATAATGATGGCAGTATAACGATGTTTTACCGTATAATGATGGCTGTTTCACGATATTTTACTGAAAATTGTGGCAGTATAAAGATGTTTTACCTATAATGATGGCAGTATACCGATGTTTTACCTATAATGATGGCAGTATCACGATGTTTTTCCCATAATGATAGCAGTATCACGAGATTTTACTGAAAAGTGTGGCAGTATAACGATGTTTTACCGTATAATGATGGCAGTGTAACAAGGTCTATGTGCTTAGATTTGGATTTACTTATAAATCCCATTTTAACCAATTCCCGATCAATATATGTTCTTCAAAAATATGCCGATATGTAACGAATATTTGAATAAGCCGTGCATCCACGAGATCAAAGGCATAATAGCTCTGTTCCTTGTGCTGGGATACATTGATTGATTTTACGGCATTTTTGATATTTAACATACGTACATTTATGTCGCCCTTTTGATATTCTACAGGTGTGTCTGTCAAATATTCAATCTGTAAAATATGCACACTATATTTCAATTTAGATTATACATCTATTCCATCTGCTATCTCGCTGTCAGCTCTGCTTATCTTATGAATAACACGAAGGGCTGCTAATATGATGAGTTGACGTTGAAATGCCCATTTGATCATACAGATTTAATTTTCGCTTGGGCGGAATATATGTATGTATATATCGAAAATGATTGATAGGTACTGTATCATTGAAGTCCGTCTGCACAGAGATTGCTATATGACCCCACTGTATAACAGCTTTAAATTCCGTCTGCACTTGGATCAACGCAGTTTTTAATTAAGATTGCATATGCACATACAAAATTACATACATTCCATGAATATTCATTTATGCAGAGTGAATCATTTGATAACGTCGTTCATTGCATTTCTGAATTTCTACTTGTGTATTTGACATGGATTTTAATATACTAATTCCTCAAAAAGTTTATTATAGTATTTGCATTTTTTTAATTTCATATATTTTATTGTGAACATTTTTGGATTCTATGACATGTAGTTTCATTTCAAATCTATTTTATTGTTTTAAACGTACAAGTGGATAAGACACAGGCATCACCTATTTTAAAGCCTTACCGAGAAGGGCTGTGTGAGGATGACAAGGAAGAACTTTTGAATTTGTCATGATAAATGGTAGGTCATTTATTGAAAGGACATGATCGGATACAGCGGGCACGGGTAAAGCGACTTTAATACACTTCATCTTTTTGCAGACAGCAATAAGCGGAAGCGGCAACATCCGGACATTTGGGAGGGGTGTGATATCACATTTCTAGGGGGTGTGATATCACTTTCAAAGGGGTGTGATATCACTTTTCTAGGGGGGGGGGGTGATATCACTTTTCTATGAGGGATGATATCACTTTTCTAGGGGGGTGATATCACTTTTCTAGGGGGTGTGATATCACTTTTCTAGGGGGGATGATATCACTTTTCTAGGGGGGCGATATCACTTTTCTAGGGGGGGGGGGGGATATCACTTTTCTATGAGGGATGATATCTCTTTTCTAGGGGGGTGATATCACTTTTCTAGGGGGGCGATATCACTTTTCTAGGGGGGGTGATATCACTTTAAAAGGGGTGTGATATCACTTTCCTAGGGGTCTGATATCAGTTTCAAAGGGGTGTGATATCTCTTTCCTAGGGGTCTGATATCACTTTCAAAGGGGTGTGATATCACTTTCCTAGGGGTTGTGATATCCCTTTTCAAGGGGGTGTGATATCACTTTTCTAGGGGGTATGATATCACTTTTCTAGGGGGTGTGATATCACTTTTCTAGGGGGTATGATATCACTTTTCTAGGGGGTGTGATATCACTTTCAAGTGGATGTGATATCACTTTTCTAGGGGGGGTGATATCACTTTCCTAGGGGTCTGATATCACTTTCAAAGGGGTGTGCTATCACTTTCCTAGGGGTCTGATATCACTTTCAAAAGGGTGTGATATCACTTTCCTAGGGGGTGTGATATCACTTTTCAAGGGGGGGGGTGATATCTTTTTTCTAAGGGGGGGGGGTGATATCACATTTCTAGGGGGTGTGGTATCACCTTTCTAGGGGGTGTGGTATCACCTTTCTAGGGGGGGTGATATCACTTTTCTAGGGGGATGACATCACTCCAAGGGGGGGTGATATCACCCGGGCTGATATCAACTTGTGGAACTTTAACTTTTTACTCATACAAAAAGGTAGTGATTGTTGGTAAACATATGATAAAGCATGTTATCCTACCTACTCTGTCACTGATCCGCAATTCGAAATGTTCACAAAAAAATGTCGAAAGGCTGTGTCCATTGTTTAGCGTTTTATATATGGAACAAGTCCATTCATTTACTCAGACTTTCAGACTGAGCTGTGTTTAAATCGATCCAACCTCATAAATCAGGCCCGTTATTTTAACCCATTTCTGTCTACTACTATGGATAAAGGGAGATAAATGTGTTAAACTGGTCCATACAGCTACCTATGGATTATTTGCGTCAAAGGTGTAAAGCACACAACACGAATTCAAGACACTTAAAAAAAGTTATCCGTGCAAAACCTAAGACATACATGTTAATTGAAACACGAAATCAAGACTTCACGAATAACAACACAAATGTCTGATTGTGAATCTAAACTCTATGTGAAATTTAGAAATTTGCAGTTATTATCATAATAGCATAAGTCAAAAAAGCAGATGTCACCGACCATAACACAGGATGACAATGGGATTTATTTGATTATGGTGAAAGCATGCTAAAATGTACTATTTGCATGGACAAATCGATTTTTCATTAATCTTGCGTTTATATTGACATTATTCTGAAGTAGTCTGGTGACAGACTTCAATCATTTTCGTATTTAGGAGCGGAGGAATATATGTTGTCATCAGACGTAAAATAACATTAGAACTAGGACAATGTTTAATCATGTCAAATATTTTTTTGTTTGTTGCATGCGGAGGATTTCAAAAATTGAAAAGTGTTTAGTTAATTTCCTTCAAAATGGACAATTTTCAACCAAATAACGCACAACAGACGATATTCACAGATTTTATTATGAAAATGCGGGTTTATGTCTCTCTGTGTAATGCCATATCTCCTAAACCAGTTGTCAAATGAATTTGAAATTTCATATTTGCGGACTTCATTTATTCCAGATTACGAATATAACAACTAATTCTAAATGCCTGATGAGGCCGGAAATGGCCGTTAACGCCTCTAGTCCTTTCTTAGTAAAAAATAAATTGATAAGTATGGTATTTTTCTGTACTTCTTTCTGCCATTCATATGAACATCTGTTCGAGTAAAGAAATCTTACAAATTACATTTCAGAATTAGAAAACACTTTTAATACACCTTAGAGCAACGTTAAAAATAGAACGTACATTTGTAATTGATTGTCAACTCATACGGCGTGTGACGTGATTATTGCCCGAGTATACATATGACAGTTCGAGTTATCTCCCTTACATCTAAATGTATTGTACACAGAAATTCGTAATTTCTTTTGAAGAAAATGTTTCCCGCATATGTTTGCCGAAAAACGGTAATATATTATAACCATGTTACCTGAAGTTGAAACATAAATTGTCTATTCTAGTTTTCATCTTATATATATAAAATCAAATTTCGTTTTACTGCCACGATTTGTCTAGCGAAACGCTGGCGTTATAAAGAGATTTCGTGATACATCGACGGAGGCGTAGCTTAGTTTCAGTGAAAAATTACAAATGTATTACCAGCTGTGTCACCAGTTTGCTTTCCTCTTTATAGATATTTTATATTTGCTTGTATGTTTTTGTTTGTTAATGTTTTTTGTTTTGTTTTGTTATTAATTTTTGTTTGTTTTTATGAAAAATAATCAAGGATAAAAAAACAATAATCAACATCAAAACTCAGCTTGTATGTATCTTTGTTTTATCTTTTTACAGGAACCCAACATATACAAACCTATAGCGTTAGAGGAATTCGAGAGAAATATACTAGACTTGAGGACGCATTATGACGTCATACGAATGTTTCTAGTGAATAAGAGTATATCAGACGATGCTATCACTAAGCTGATATATAATGAAGAGAGTTCTGACGTGGTTGATGACGTGTCAGGGTCACATAAGAGAGACTACGATTATTACAATGACGAATGGGATTATAACGACGAAGATCGTATAGGTAAGTGGGGCACGTAACATTTTAACGTTGAAATATTTTAAAATCTTGTTTTTGAGATTGACAGTAATGCGTACATATCTGACAGTATTTGACAGCGATGTCTGGTGTATATATGATAGTGATGTCGTGTTGATATTTGACAGTAATATCGTGTGTATTTGATAGTGATGTCGTGTATATTTATAGTGATGTCGTGTACGTTTGATAGTGATGTCGTGTTAATGTTTGACAGTGATATCGTGTGTTTTGACAGTGATATCGTGTGTATTTGACAGTGATGTCGTGTGTTTTGACAGTGACGTCGTGTGTTTTGACAGTGATTTGTTAATATATGACAGTGATATCGTGTTTGTTTTACAGTGATATCGTGTGTATTTGATAGTGATGTCGTGTGATATCGTGTGTTTGGCAGTGATTTGTTAATATATGACAGTGATATCATGTTTGTTTTACAGTGATATCGTGTGTATTTGACAGTGATAGTGTGTATGTTTGACAGTGATATCGTGTTTATATGTGACCGTGATGTCGTGTTTTTGTTTGACAGTGATATCGTGGGTATATTTGACAGTAATATCGTGTGTATTTGACAGTGATATCGTGTGTTTATTTGACAGTGACGTCGTGTGTATTTGACAATAATTTTGTTTGTGTATTTGACAGTGATGCAGAAAGCTCTGGAGCATTATGAGGAGATTAAGACGGGACCATTAGGAGAGTGCAGTCAACCACGACCAGAAATTGTACGGGTCAGAGACTTTACGGGAGACGCCCACAAAATGTATATCCCAAAATTTACAGTGATTCATAAATGTCGGAACGTGACCGGATGTTGTTGGTTCGATTCTCAAGAATGTCGACCACTGAACGTCCAAATTGTGTGGAAACCTTTCATCGTAAGTAATTTCCCCATACTTAACGTCATAATAGAAACTGTAAATCACGGGCAGTAGGTTTTCTCCGGGTACTCCGGTTTCCTCCCATATTAAGACCCTCTGCGCACTTACATCTATAAGATAGAGTAACTTGTTGTAAAATGAATAAAGTGTATATAAGCACAGCTCTAGACGGACTCAAATTACCCCTTGATACTGGTAAAAGGCAGATTTCACTAGTCTGGATAACAGTTTGCTAAAGTAGTTTATGTATGATCACGTGATATTCGTTAAAAAAAAACTTATAGACAATGTCAATATTTTTACAGACATTTGATTACAATATGGATGAAGAAACGGTGGAAAAAAGCACAGACAGCGTTGAGTGGGTGTTGTTTGAAAACCACACCCACTGTTCCTGTCAGAACCTCAACCCTTTACCCGAGTAAGTAGCCCCTCTTCCCTAAATCCCCTACCCAAGTAAGAGGCCCCTCATCCCTAAATCCCCGTTAGTCGGGTGGCGCAGTGGACAGCGCACTCGCCCTTCACAAAATTACAAACAAACACCCACATACCTGCATGACCTCATCAGTACCACACAAAAGCCATACTCCTTTAGATACCACAACACAGCAGACATACCACAAGTAAGAACTACCAAATTTGGCAAACACTCTTTTCGATCTGAAGCACCAAAAATATGGACTTCTCTGCCAGCCCAATTTCGAACAGCAACAACACTTTCGCAATTCAAAACACTTATAAACAGCTGGTACGGACCACAATGTAAATGTGTCACATGCTAACAACCTACATAATATACCACACAACAACATAGCATCACTTACTACTCTCATACAAGTACACAAGGTTTTAAATATGCTTTTACACCCCATGTTTTTAGACAGATATCTGCTATTTTAAACAGCTACTTGTGTACATGTGCTTTTAACAAATGATAGTGCTAACCTAGCTGAAAATGAAATGTGATGTATGAGTAAAGTATTGACTTTGTAACTGTTTTATTATGCAATGTGTATTTCCTGTATGTTAGTCGGTTTTAATAGCTCCTTAGAGCTAATGTTGTATTGTTATACCATGTACCGACTCTAAATAAAAACTTTTGACTTTGACTTCACCAAGACGGCCGGGTTTCGATTCCTCGATCGTACGTAAATGATATTGGGTCAGCTGACTGAACAAGTGGAGTGTCGCCGGGTTCTCCGGTTAGATAGATCTTACACCCTATCACAGATAACATTTATAACACGCAATGTACCCAATTTCCTTACATATGGTAGTACCATTGTTTTTATATCTGGTTTATGTCCTCAGTAAATTACTTACGTATTTGAGGAATTTGTTCTTTATCGATGTCCTTTTTATTTTTTTCGCCAGGTGTTCGTTGAGGTGTCCACATCCATTTTTTATGTCACGCCCACACGAGGAGTGTGTTTGTGATTGCAAGAAAAATTCAATTCATTGCAACAAGATCAAGTATGGCATGGAGCCCCTCAAACACAAAGAATTTGAGTGAGTAATTCAACAAACGTAATGTTTAATTATTTATACCTTGAGATATGTTTTAAGAACGTAGTTTTTTTCCGAGATGAACAATAAAAAATCCCAACATTAATATATTCACTGCGATAATGTTTTATAACGTTGGGACATATGTAAAAGTTATATTTTTTTCAAAGATTAGATATTATTTAATCACGATGTTTTAGGTCAAACGCTGAATGTGTGGTGTTATGCAAATATGTTAACACAAATCTCTATAATAAACATCAAGTAAGTTCTCAGATTTTAACTAAAAAATATCCGTTTCTGCTAATACAAAATCTAAATATATAGAAATATAAAATAATTTTTCAAATTTTGCATTTAAGGATACATATTTTTCTTTATAAACGATTTTAGTCTACTTATACCCCTTATTTTACCTTTCATGGTAATTTATGCAAATATTCGTTATGAAAAACCTATTCAGGATTTAAATTTTAAAGTGTTGTCTATAAATAGTATCTCGATCATTATGCCTTGAAGTTGAAATGAAATAATAGACCAGAATTAAAAATAATTTCTTTGAAACCTTTATTCCTTTTAACCTTTCGGAACGTCTAGTGTTATTCTCCTTGAATATTTTTGTTAATGGTATCCGTCTAAATTTTTCCTTTTTTCACATTTTGTCCTTGTTTGACCGATTTTGATATTTACATCGAATTGTATATGGTTTTGTTAACACATTGGTATTCTCTTTTTGGTTTTTTTCTGAAGATGTGTCAAGCGAAATGAATGTATGCAGCCTGCCTGTGCGGGGGGTCGTTTTGACATGCGAAAGGGATTCTGTGAAGGAGTGGAAAATAGTCAGTTACCGATACTACACCTGCTGGAAGAGGAACGTCATAGCCCCAGATACCCGGGTCGTCGGTAGTCCTCGCCTCACCCCCAAACAGTCCGTCTACCTCATCCATACTCCTGACATCGTCGTAACATACTTTATATAGCATTTACTATTTATGAGTGGTGTTCTGTGGCCATACGCCTTTTCAAACTCAACATGGGCTGTGTGTTATATGTACACGTCAGCCTATCTATATTTGTGATAATGTATTAAAGTCATTTTTATTTATTTATAGGCTGTTGCAGCAATCAAAACCATCAGTACATGTCTAAATTTCTCCTTCGTGGTTTTTTTTACGTAAAATGAATCTGGAACAGTGGCACTTTGTCGTTCTGGGAAATTTATTTGGTACCGGGAAACGTTTATGTTATAAAACAATCCAGGCCAAAAACCCAAAGGCGAAATTTAGACACCTGATTTAGACGTCATTTCTGTTTATATATATATATATGCTTACTTAGCACGTGTCGAAGGACAAAATATGCACGTGCTTACCTAGCACTTGAAGGAGAGTAAGAGTGTGCTGGTATGTACTTATTAAGCACTCTAGGGGGGAAAGAGTGAACTAGTGCATGCTCAGCACCAGTGCGAGAGAAGAAGTATGCATGTGCTTACTCAGAACTTGTGCAAGATAAGGAGTGAACGCGTGCACGTACTGACTAAGCACTTGTGCGAAAGTAAGAAGATGCAAGTGCTTATTGAGCAGTTCAGCGAGGGGGAAAACGGACACGTGCTTACTCGGTACACGTACAGGGATAGTAGGGTTCACTTGTTTAATCGGCACATGTACGGAGGTAGGAGGATATTCTTGGATAACATGTACCAATACTGCGTTTACTGACAAAGAGTCTAGTGGTTCCTCGAGTTACCTCCCGTTGTATGCTTTCGGTAAATTTCGTCTCCTTTTAGATAATTTAACTCAATGAGAAAAATGTGAAATTAACTTCATGAATAAAAGGTCGGATTTAATTGATTGATTGCTGATATATCGGAAAGCTTTTTAAAAAAAAAACACTCGTCATTTTAAAAAGGGATATAACTAAACACTGTTTCAGGTTCTTGGATTCATCTTTCTTCAATAGCTTGATAAAAGTTAAGGGTATATGCTACCTTACTGACACGAATCTCCTATTCCAAAGAGTTTCAAATTAAGAAAGTTGTCAGACATTTGTTTGTGAATAGTAATATTAAGACATGGTTAATGAATTAAGGACATACTTCGGATGTATTAGATTCTTTCAAAGGTAGATTACTCTAATTTTAAAAAATCGCAAGTACAATTTAAAAAATTGTATGAACCTTATTGGGTTTTTTCTTTTAAGTTAATAAAAAAAAAATCCAAATATTATTATAATTAACCTGAGGAACATTGTCTAGTAATGTATTTTTTGTGTTGTTTTAATACTGTATTAAGTTTATTTTGCAATTGGTAATTAACAAAATATTACTCATTTAAATTTATTCACCTTTAAATGAAATTTAATTAACAAGGATTCCGGCTGACTTAAGGAACACAAACAAGAAAATACTCATATTTATAGATGGTTTTGGGCAAAATTGCGGAAAAATAAGATCTTATGCGCCACTTATCATAGAAAGCTTGAACAAGTGATACAGAATGTCATCGGTCACTACATCTGCGTTTGAATAGCACAAATATTTACTACATTGCAAAGTTGTTTGTAATCAGACACCTAGCTACACCTCATTATATTAATTTATTTTGATAGTGAGGGAAATGCCCTTTCCACTAGAATATCAAGTCATTTTCAGTAACAATTTTATCATTGTATGTTTATAATATTATTCTAGCCTACCGTTATTTAACGCTTCTTCACTCCCCGCTGACGTTTTCGTTATGATGGTCATATTTGCTGATTAATGACCGATCCCTTAGGACTAGTACAGCATGTACGTGTGTGTTCAGTAGCATGGTTTCTTGGTATTCTGTGTGTAAACTAATGTACCTCTTGAAAGTTACTAAAACTGAAAATATGTTATTAAATTGTGATAAAATATCATATCTGGGCAAGCGTTTTAACATATTAAATGCCCATGGTTTAAAACAGTGAGAATTATTTTCAAATTCTCTAACTATTACAATATATATATAGAAAAATGTAATATTATTAACGCATTGTGTCCGATGTTTACGTTTATTTATCATGTTCTGTTAAACTCTCTGTCTGTTTGATTATTTAATGTTGTGCTCTTCCTTGCTTTGCAGCCGTTTCTTATACTAGTGTTCTTTTTTTCTTTTCTTTTTTTACCAAATGTTATAACGTACACCATCCTTATACTGGAAATAAGTCAATTTTTGTGAGGTATATAATTTCGCGAAAAGAATATTCCTAATACATGTATCTCGCAAATATTCATTGAAGCTCACAAGGGAATTTTATCATCATTGTTCCTTTAGCAAATGAAAACTAATGCAATTACGTCGTTTTTTGTGAACTATTTACGAAATGAAGTGATTTGAATCATATAAGTTATTGATAGTTAATTACAATTATTGAAAATCAACCTGCGTGCGCAACCGGAAGGAAGTCGTGTACCGCAGAAGTTTAACTCTATGTCAACCAGTGATAAGGATTGTATTAGACGGTTTAACTTGACCTATTGTCTGTGTAATTATTTCTTTGTTATTAACAAAGATTTACATACAAAAACATATAAAGGTTATTTTCAACGTATCATTGACCCAGCTAATGGCACTACCAAAAGACAAAGTTTTCTGAAGACAATCATTTGCTCTTCTGAATAAGAATGAAGAAAATTGGATGTAAATCACTGTAAAGTTCATTAAATTGATTAACATTTTAATGTTTGCCAAACACTTGAAATATAGCCAAAATTGCTTATAATCCTAGCCAATTAATATATTGATTTCACAAAAGTGCTTATTTCTTTCCAACGTAGATTAATATGTAAATAAATATTACATGAAGATTAAAATGTTATTTCACCATACGAACATGAATTGTGATTTGCATCATACAGTTATTTACTTACGTTATAAATACATGATCTTTGATATTGTGGTGTCCACATCATCCCTGTGTATGCTCATTGGAATCTCATTAAGACGTATACTATATACAGCGCAATTTTCGTGGAAGTGTATATTCGCGGAAATGAGAGTCAGCCGCGAGTTCAATTCGACAGTAACATGGTTTGTTTCTCAAGTGAAACGACAAACCACAAATAATCTCAATTCTGAACATTCTTAAACGTTCATTTTAGTAATGTATATGTTGTGATTTATTCAAGTGAACGCCAAAATAAAATCTTCGCGAAATGACAGCTGTATATAGTATGTCACTATAGCTCATAATGAGTAAGATAATATTGGACCAAACAGCATTTTAGTAGCATGAATTTGACGAAAATCGACGGGTTTTAACGAATAGTCATCACTTTGTATTTATTACAGATTTTTTGTTTATTAATGAAAATGATTCTATCCTTGCACATATATAAGTTTAATAAATGCGTTCATCATTTTGTTCACGATCCGTTGGCGCGGGCTAACACAATAAAAATTTAAGATTTATCATTAGTCATTTGTTTTTATTTCAATTTAGATGAGTCAAGAGCGGTTTGAATAAATTAATATGTGATGGTATGGATTTCACATGCTTCTGCGTTGCTAATTTTCGTTCAAAAATTCATCGTAAGCTGACTTATGTCATTTATTTTAAGGAGGTATGCTACCTTATTGCCGCAATTTCATGTATTTTTTTTCAAAAATGTTTCACGCCTTCAAATGTCAAACTACAAAAGAATTTAAATATACTGGTGTATTATGATCAGGAATTGAATATCAAGGGAAATAACTCCAGCACAAATCATAGAAATAATGTGTAAGGAAGCATTTATCCTTCATAAGCGAAATACCGCTAAGATTTATTTAAGATACTTATTTGTTTCTAAAATTTGCAAGATGGATTAGTTAAAAGATATGAAAACTAAATAATACAGTTGAGGTTTTTATTAATTCGAAGACATTTGCATATGTACACCCATTGACGTCAGTGACTGCAATTGATGACGTACGCATGCTTTCATTCTCATTATTATGCCTGGTGCTAATTCTTGCCAACTCTGAATGACTGGAGGAGCANCCAAAAAAAAAAAAAACTAAATAGAAAAAGGGTTACAGACCGTTACTAAAATAGGTTAGGATATTCCTAGTTTTCAAGCCTGTAAGTCTGTTAAAGAACTCAATCTAAAAAATGGAACTTGCCGACTGCAAATTATCTTATCTTGTCGGATGGGAGACGTCATGTAAGAATAGAAATTATTTATACAAAGGAAATTAAGCCGGAACTCAAAGTCGGAACAAATAATCAGCACAAGAAACTATAGGGAAACCTCCCAAACATTTTAGCGTACTTCTAAAGTCATTCTATTTCCCACTTACAAACTATCTAATGGACTTGCTGCTTGTCCCCCTCCTTTCCTGACCTCTATGACCTAGTTTGTTTTGATATTGCTGAGTATGTAACGTTATATGTGTGCACAGCTCCAAAACAATGTTAGTTTTTGACGATTATGGGTAATGACATAGTGTCCTATGGAGCGGGATCGGCTGTTTCTACCTTTGCACACATGGTGTTTACTGAAAAACCTGATCATATCTGGAACATGTAGCATCGGATTTTGATGTAGTTTGTATTACTGAGACTCACCTTGATTTATCCATAGCAGATGATGACATACTCCTAGATGGTTATAACTTGTTTCGTAAAGACCGTAGAAGTCCGGGTGAGGGATGAATGTTTACACTTCTAGCCTCCTTTGCACACGTCATAGAACAGACTTAGAATTCCAGATAGGTGAAGTTGTATGGGTAGAGATCAAGTTTCTAAATTAAAAACATATTTATGCACAGTCAATAGACCTCCAAACTGTACGCACAATTTCTTGAACCTTTTTCGACACTCTGTAGAAACAGTTTTGAATGAGACACCGTATATTGTAATAGTTGGTCATATAAATGTATACCTCCTGGTATAGTAGTTAATAACCACGCACTTATAGATATTATGTAAACTCTTTCCACCTCTCGAATGTTTGGACAGACCGACTAGAATTGGACGCACGTGCTGCTCACTACTTGACCCCATTCTTCTATCGGACACGTGTACTATTGACATAGACCGCGAAATTTCAGACCATCAAGCGACATGTGTAGATTTGAAAATAGGGACAAATATCATTAGGAGCTATAAGAGAGAAATACTACGCTACAAAGACGCTGACTACACTTTTACATCCAGATTCCATCAAAAATAGTTATTGTAAGACCCACTGACAAACCCTGGCTCAATTCTGACCTGAGACGTGAAATTAGGAAAAGAAACAGATTTCTCCAGAACTATAAAACTAATCGCTCTCCTCATAACTTAAACAACTTTCGGAAACAGCGGAATAGAGTTAATAATCTTAAAAAACGGACAAAGGAGTTGTTTAATGCGGACATTAATGGACTTTTAGATAATTACAGCAATACCAATTCTCGAATATTTGGGAAACTTGTCTGCAGATTGACAAAAACTTCAGATAAATTGTACTAATACTGTTCCACCATTGAGGAATGTGACTGGTAGTATAAAAATGGATGAGGACGTTAAGACCAACAAACTAAATGACTACTTTGTTTCTTTATCTACTATTGACGATACTGACACTGACATACCTGTCACAGAATCTAGATCCGACTCGAACATTACTGACATAGCTTTTAATATTTATGATATTATTGACATACTTTAAGTATTGGTAAAACGATTCAATCAGCCACACAATGCTTAAGAACACTGCAAATAAAGTTATTAAAGTTTTCGCTCTTCTTTGGAAACTGGAATTTTCCCCAAACAATGGAAACACGCCATACAATATCATTTTTCAAAAAGGGAGATAAGCAAGATCCCTCAAACTATAGACCAATTGCTCTGCTTAGTACCATGTTAAAGTTTTTTGAAAGATTAATAGCGAAATATTTGCATACTCATCTTTTAGACCATTCTCTAGTAATATGTAAATACCAGGCAGGATTTCAGCAAGGTCATTCTACTGTACATCATATTATAGAAATATATCACAAAGTGTGTTACAATCTGAAAAAAATGCAAGTCACATGTCTTGTTTTCTGCGACATTTCTAAAGCATTTGGCAGGGTGTGGCACACGGGCCTGTAAGTGAGACTGTCAAGTTATGGAATTTCAGGAAATTTGTTGAATTGGTTAATGAACTATTTAACAAATAGATCTCAACAGGTTTTCATTGGAAATAGTAAATCCTCTGTAAAGACAACACATGCAGATGTGCCTCAGGGCTCGGTTCTTGGTCCGTTGTTATTTATACTATATATCAACGATATAACTGACAGTCTAGAATGTCTTTCGAAACTCTTTGCAGACGATACTTCTCTTTTACGCTCTGATAAATATCCTCAAGTAATCGAACAAAAAAAATAGGGATCTCGGGAAAATACAATTGTGGTCTGATAGGTGGTTAGTTAAATGTAACCCTGCTAAAACAGAGGCCTTACTGGTATCCAATATCGAGTTTGATCACATCATTGAAATTAATTTTAATATTGTAAATATAGACTTTGTAGACAATTAAAAGCATATTGATGCAAACTGTATGTGGGGCTGTCATATTGAACATTTGAAAAAAAAGTGAAACAATTGGGTATCCTCCGTAAATTAAAAATAAACTCATTAACCGATGTACACTAAATAACATATGTAGATCTTACATTCTTCCTAATCTAGATTATTACTGTGAACTATTGGATGGTTGTTTTCTTGCCGATGCAGATAAATTAGAAAAGTTACAACTTTACCTTCCTACACTAGCAGACGAGCTATACTATACGAAACAGGATGGGAATATATCAGCGGAGATCTCGTCGTCAACTTCAGCTATTCTTTAAGATTCATAACAACCTAATTATCTCAACACTCTACTCCCTCCTCTTGTATCAAAAACTTCACAACACAATTTAAGAAATTCTGACCTTTATAACCTGCCTAACAATAGACTTGAGTCATCAAATATGTCTTTATTCCCTTCTACAATAAGACTTGGAATCAGTTAACCTTTGCTATTTGACATTGTGTATCATACTCGGCATTCAAAAACGCCATTCAAGATAGTAACTTACCTAAAGCCCCTAACTACTTTCTCTTCGACGATAGGTAGTACAAAATTCTACATATTAGGTTGAAAAATCAGCCCAGTACATTTCGAACTAACCTAGTTAATGACCAGCATCGTACCTGTGGGTCTGCTTTTGAAGATGCCTACCATTACTTTACTTACTGCAATAACTATGCGTACAAAGGGAAACTCTTTTCCGAGAACTCAATAAATATATGTCTCTTACCCTGCACCTTCTTCTGTCCGGAGACACTGAACTGTTATGCACACTCAGCAATATATTCACGACAAAAACAGATTTTAATAATCTTTTCCCCTCTGTCTACTCTTCTCTCAGTACAATTTATAGACTTTAAACAATGGTTAATAATGTTGAGTAATTTTGTTTTGAAACTGTGAGAGTTGTATTTTTGGTCTTTCCCGATCCAAAAGGCTAAAGCGAAACGAATATTTAAGGACAACCGGAATGACCTGGGGGAAACTAACCATGACACGGGATATGATGAAAAAGTGCATAGTCTAGGCTGAAGCCGTCTGAGTTAGGAAAGACCATTCATACCATCTCTACAATGCGATATAATATACGCTCTATCTCCCATTCTCTCTCACTCCTAAACACACACACACACACACCCCTCCTCCTCCTCTCTCTCTCTCTCTCTCTCTCTCTCTCTCTCTCTCTCTCTCTCTCTCTCTCATGTCTGAAAGTACGTGTATGCGCGTGTTGTGCGTGTGTGTGTGGTTGAATGCGTGTGTGCACCCGTAAATGCTGTATCCGCTTAATATAGGAAGGTTTTGTCGTCAACAATACCTGACACTGTGAACAGAATAACAAAATCGGAGACAAAAGCATTCCCGATTGAAAGCATGACTACGTAACTTTTGGTAATTCTAATAATACTTTTCTGATGCTTCACTCTACGTGTCTCTCATAGCTGATTACAGAGACAGTATGACAACAATCTTGTTTACAAATTGGGGTGTGTGATCGCGTCACGTCACCATAGCGAGAACATGGGTAGTGACAACAAAACCACAAGGCACACACATGAGCAAAATAAAAATCATCGACCTTCGTCACAAAAGGAATAGCATAGTTATCTATGATATCATGACGGTGACCATCAAACTTGTCCGTCGTCTTCATCAAACTGCATATGTGGAAACCTTGTGTTGTGAAGTTGTCCGTTATCAATCGATATCTATCACAAAAGTCATGATATTCGGGGCAAGCTCTTGAATACCGAATCAACTGCAACACGTAAACATCGTAGCCAAGGGATTCAGCGATGTTGCTATCAAGAAAGGGAAACTACACTGGGAAACAATGCCACCAGACTTAACAAAGATATTATCAACAAAGAACTCAGTCATTCTCACAATTTCATCTTCAGTGTATTTCATTTTGGCTTCTGCTGTGCTTTTCATAAAGTACGTTCCTAAATTATTTACAACCATATACATGTATTCATATCGCCGTTCGCCTTTCTTGGAAAAGATCTGTCAATTTAGCATGGTGAATTGAAGTGTAAAAGGTCGATGATACGCAAACGGACTATTTCGCGCTGTGAAATATTTTCTCTTTAAAATCTTTTTTTTATTATTATTATTTTGCTTTCGTAATTGATACCAGTGAAAATGGGTTTATATACATGGAATGAAATGCGCTTTTTTGTTATATTCGCCAAACTAGTGGAATTGACTACATGCGGGCTGAAAAGGCCAAAAGGTCTTAGATTGCGCTCATGGAGAAAACGTGCACAAACATTTGATTTTTATATAGAAAGTAGTGGTTTAATCAGGTTTTTTCGACTCGTGTTTAGCTACCTCTCATTAGGTACTTTTAATTAGTAATAAAACAGTCAATTACCTCGTTTGTTTTATAACTTTTGAAAGCTGTTTTTATTGATTGAGAAATAGTATAAACAAGTATCATTAGTTGCAAACAAACAGACGGAAGTTGTATGACGTCACACATAAACAGATCGATATACTATTGAGAAAATTCAAGTAAAAGTAATGTGCATGTATGAGAAACATGATAATAAAGCATTATTTACAATGTGAGGATAGAGAAATCTAAACCCATCGGGTTAAAGTATGTACTGTCTGTGATACTGGTGATACTGCATGTATCATCATCGATATAATAAATATATACTAGTGAACCTTTTGGGTTTAGATTTCCTTATCTATTGTACGGATAGTGATAGATTCTCTCCTGAACTTGTACTTCTAGTGGTGAACTACAATAGCCTGTATTGTATACCCTTATGGTAAGTTAATATTGTGGTAATCACTTTATCTTGAAATTGACCTGTTTCACAAGAGATTGGTTATTATGCTATCATTGTTAACTCACACTGAACGTGGCTATTAGGCTTAAAGGCCGTGGTAGACATTAACAATCTGACGCTCAATGTTGTGAAGTTGGCGTAATGATATCTTAACATTTTGTTTTGAATAGTTCTATTATCTACCAAAATAATTTAATATTGAGAGAGGCATCAATAAATAAAACAAAAAGGAAAAGAAATACATTGATTATAACTTATCATTAGTGTTTAATTTGTAAATTAAAATTACAAAAATATATAAATAATATTACATTGGGTTTTGCGTGTAAGTATGTCCTTATAACATTCTAAATATTCTGCATTGGACGGAATGTGTTGTTGATTGTAAACTAGCATTGTTATCACACTTTGTGGAGGTTTTTGGTCTTAGTTTCGTTCAGTCAGTGGTTACGCTTCTTCCTCTCCTTCTTCCTCCTCGAACTCTCCTTCCTCGTCAGCGGTGGCGTCCTGGTACTGTTGGTACTCGGATACCAGGTCGTTCATGTTGGACTCAGCCTCTGTGAACTCCATCTCGTCCATACCCTCTCCCGTGTACCAATGGAGGAAGGCCTTCCGCCTGAACATGGCTGTTAAAACAAGTCAAAATTGTCAGTTTATTTGCATTCTAAGTCTAAATATTGCTGTTGGAAAAGGGCAAAAGTAGTCAATCAATTCATTAGCATACTAAAGTCTAAATATGGTTGTTGGAACAAGACAAGCGTAGTCGATATTTAATCAGTGCAGTGTGTAAATACAGCTCTTGGAACATGACAGAAGTACTTAATACATTCCCTGTCACAACATTAAAACAAGACAAATGTAGTCAACACATTATCGCTACTGTGAACCCTACAATTACAGTTACTGTGAACCCTACAAGTATAGTTACTGTGAACCCTACAATTATAGTTACTGTGAACCCTACAATTATAGTTACTGTGAACCCTACAAGAATAGTTACTGTGAACTCTACAATTACAGTTACTGTTAACCCTACAATTATAGTTACTGTGAACCCTACAATTATAGTTACTGTGAACCCTACAATTAATGCAGTATTCCATCATCCGGTTAGTATTTTAGGAGACAACATTGCCTTTTTTTTGTGTGATTTTTGGAAAGCAGCTGGACAAGTTGTTGAGAAAGTTTTTATTTAGACTTTTGGAACAAGATACCACTTCAAACATTGCAGAAATTTCAACAGAACGAAAGAGGCAATTATATGCCAGAATATTATTATTTTCTAATAAGCATACGTATATTTAGAATGTGAAATGCCTTACCTGTAAATTGTTCAGAGATACGCTTGAACAACTCTTGGATGGCAGTAGTGTTCCCGACAAACGTGGCAGACATCTTAAGACCACGTGGTGGGATGTCACAGACAGCGGTCTTTATGTTGTTCGGAATCCACTCCACGAAGTAACTACTGTTCTTGTTCTGCACGTTCAGCAACTGTTCGTCTACCTCTGTTTTAGGGATAATAACAATTGTATGAGATTTTTTCACGTAAAGTTCCGCTATTTGTTACCACCATTAGTTACACTGTTCTTGTATCCATTAAAGAATTAACAGATTGCATTCCATTGAAAGGAAACAAGGGGAAATTATCACGTCGGTAAAGACTTTTTTTAAATTAACCCTGTCACCACTGTAAACCATAATGGACCCGTCCATGTCAATGCATGGTAAAGTCTACTGAATTTACATAGGGACGAAAGTATTAAGATGCGTTTTTTGGACAACTCGTACTGCCATAAGGTGTGACTTGAAAAACCAAACTGGTGAATACGTATATAAGAAAAATTGAATAAACAGTAACTTGGAAGTCGCACTCTAATTCCTAAAAAAAGAGTAGTTTTTTTGCTGTTTATAATTATGTAGGTTGCTACCTTTCATGGACATCCTGCCCCTAAACAGGGCAGTAGCAGTAAGGTAGCGTCCGTGTCGAGGATCGCATGCAGCCATCATGTTTTTGGCGTCAAACATCTGCACGGTCAACTCTGGTACGGTCAGAGCACGATACTGCTGGCTCCCCCTGGAGGTAAGGGGAGCGAATCCAGGCATGAAGAAATGGAGTCGTGGAAAGGGCACCATATTAACCGCGATCTTTCTTAAATCAGCATTCAGTTGACCTGTTGTGAAATAAACAAAGCAGCACTATTTTCAATTTTGTTAAACAAAACAGTAACAAACTATTCTTAACAGCAAATTTTCGTAAAAACATTAAATACTTTTTCGACTCAACAGCTGACTTAGTTAAGTAGTAAAAGGACATATGCTGTAATTTCATAGCCAAATTCAGATGACACGTGCTATGGTCAAAGAAAAGCTTGACAGAATAGTTCACCAAAAGTAATACACAATTGTTAGTTTATCGATCACATGGGATTGAAAGGTAGCATGTTCAATGGCAGTAAACTGTTGCTATGGCGCTCTTGAAAATGGCGCATGACGCCTAATGTTATAGACCACTAGCTCCGGTTACACAAGGTTTTGTTAGAGCTAAACAGTATTAAGAGAAAAATTTGAATAGGAATTAAACAAAATCAAGGGAATCCGATAAAGATTCACTGCTAGAGACTTGTTGAGACAGATCAGACTTACGTATTTGAGAATTTATTTTGCTTTGAAAGCCTTATATTCATTTTTTTTTCATAACCGCTGGTTAAAGCTATACATCTTCTGTGCAACCAGGTCCCCAAGTGATCTACCCAGCGATAATAATAAAAGGGTACTGAGATGTTCAGGGTTTCTTTTTGCAAAAGACAGGCCTCCATCCAAGAAGAACTGTTTCACTGAAGTCGATTGCTACGGCTTCGTCATGTTATTTACCTGGAAACCTGAGGCATGTTGTCACTCCTGACATCGTGGCAGATATAAGGTGATTAAGGTCACCATAGGTGGGCGTAGTTAGTTTTAAGGTCCTGAAACAAATATCATAAAGGGCTTCATTGTCAATACAGTAGGTCTCGTCCGTGTTCTCCACAAGTTGGTGAACCGAGAGGGTGGCATTGTAAGGCTCGACCACAGTGTCCGACACCTTGGGAGATGGTACTACTGAGAAAGTGTTCATGATCCGGTCGGGGTATTCTTCTCGGATTTTGCTGATGAGCAGGGTGCCCATACCGGCCCCTGTACCACCGCCCAGGGAATGAGTAAGCTGAAAGCCCTGAACACAATCACAACCCTCCGTCTCCTTCCGTACCACATCCAGTGCCGAGTCGATCAGTTCAGCGCCCTCTGTGTAGTGACCTTTGGCCCAGTTGTTTCCGGCACCACTCTGACCTGGAAGTGCAAATGCATAGTTAAGGATACCTTAATTTCAATAAATTAAATTAAATAAAGAATATCACGTTTGGTATAAAAAGGGTAACAATAGTTACCGCGGATACATCAAAACGAAACTAAGACATCATGTGACTCAAACAATACAGGGAATATCTTTTTCTGAAGGTCAAACTCAAGTTCTGTGTGTTATCAATTGAAGTGTGAAAGAGTATTTTAAAATATGATGTTATCGTATGTATTGTATCATGTTCGTGATTGTTTAACAACTTAATTGAGAACGGTTTTATGAATAAGGAACCTGGTACCATAGAAAGGTAAGCACTTCCTGCTTGCTGCACCACAAAGAATAAATGATTCACGTACATTGTGTATCAACATGGACACAGGGTGCAATAATGAAGTGCTGTCCTACAGTTATTGATTTACTTGAAATGATAAATTTGTCTTAGGGATAACTTCATAAAGAATAGCTTACATTTCCTTAAGAATTATTATGTATTAATACGAACCGAACACAAAATTGTCTGGGCGAAATATCTGGCCGAACGGTCCTGACCGGACGGAGTCCATCGTGCCGGGCTCGAGGTCGATGAGGATACAGCGGGGAACATATTTTCCACCTGGTACAAAAAGGGAACTAAAGCATGTGTGTGACATGTGCAACGAAATAAGTATGAATTGTTGGTTACAAATCATTAATGCTGTATACTGTATACCTTAATTTTACGCTCAGTCAAACTTTCGCCTGTAAAATCCATTTTTTTAAAGGTTATTTGGTATCTCATGAAAGTCGATAACTTGTTATTTACCAAAGCAAGTAAAAAAGGATACAGACAGAGCACAATTCAAGTAAATATACAAAATAATGATATTTAAAAATAGTTTTATCTCCTTAAAAAAAACCCGGAATAGTGTGTCCGATGTTTGAAGTACAGCATATTTTTCATCATATACAGTTCATGTAGCACAACCGGTGAAATGTATTGTTTACTAGTACGATACTAGTCATCGGAACGTCACACACAAACTTGCTGTGCTATATGAATCTGTTTACCACCAATACTTATTGACACGAAGAAAATGTTTCGATAATCATTTCTGTCGGGTTAACAAGTAAAATAAGTATTCTGTTGACGTATTCAAAATGCTATAATAGTGAAATAATGGAATGTTGTGATTTGAATATGTTACTGACCTGTAGCCTCGGTGAAGTACACGTTAATACGCTCCAATTGTAGGTCGGAGTCTCCGTGGTATGTTCCTGTAGGGTCAATGCCATGTTCGTCAGATATCACCTCCCAGAACTGAACAAAAAACACAGGTCAATAATTAAAATAGAAATATAGACTTTAGTGGCCACAAGCAATGGCGACGTTACCATGCCCGTCAGATATCATCTCACAAACATGAACAAAAAATAGGACAATAATTAAACTAGAAATATTTGTTAAAGTGGTCATATACACACTGACTACGTTACCATGTTTGTCAGATATCACCTCCCAGAACTGAGCAAAACTATAAGTCAATAATTAAACTAGAAATATATGCTTTAGTTCCGACGTATACAGTGACTATGTTACAATGCCCGTCAGATATGACCTCATAGAAGAAGAAGAAGAAGAAGAAGAAGAAGAAGAAACTTATGACGTTAAAAAAAAAATCATACCAACACACGGGCTAGTAATGAAAAGAGAAACATTGACCATTGTGCCAACATACGAAGCCAAATTTGAAACTCAAACGCGACAGGAGAAGACATAACATATTATATCAAGGTATGAATACCATGTCTTTGATTATGCAGACAATCTCGATTCATACATATCGAGTAGCGAATCAACTATGACCAGTCTAAGAATGTAAGGCTGGTATATTACTTCTGAGTAGCCAAATCCACCTATCGTAAATGGTAAGTTGCCTTTTACATTAAGTTTGGTAGAGAGATGGTCATTATTATCACTTTGTATATGAATGTCAAATTAGAAAGCTGAATAACAGCTCAGACATATGCCTAATGGCACATTAATTAAAGTAGCGATCAATTGAACAGGAATGTAACGGTTAGAAGAAAAATATCACTAAAGCATTTCACACGTGTCCCTGGACAATCTGACAGAAGTGGATTTTTTTTATTTTATAAATTGTCAGCGATACATTTTGATATCAGCAACAACGCTTTGATATACGTTTAACCACGTGTCAGTTTGTTCGCATTTGAATATACAATGTATTTAGTGTAAACTAAAAAACGGGAAATGCCAACATTGCAAAGAAATCCTCTTTAACAGTATATAAGATTTCAGTAGACTAAGTTAATTTCCATGTAAGTACACTGTCAGTGTCTGTCCAATTATTGCATATCATGAACTTTTGTTGTATCTATTTGTATGTATTTCTACACAGGAACAAACTACCATATTTGTAATTAAAGAAACCAAGTAAAAACTAACATTGTAACACACACAAAAACACAGTTCAGAGAAATCTTACAAGCACATTAAGCTCTTTGAAACATTTAAACAAAAGGAGAGCTGAATTCAACCTCATTAGAACCGGATATTAAGTCGGATATGTCCGAGACGTATGCGTGTCTTTTTAAAACTGTATTTAAATAGTGTCAGTTAAAAGCCGTGCCATTTGTTATCACTTAACATTAACAAACAGTCTTAAACATTATACACTATTGTTCCTATTTGGATTTAAATGCTTCGACTAGGTGAAGACACATCTCTTGAGAGCTTGAGATCACTGACACTTTTAACATTTATTGAAGTGTGTCAGTCGGATTATTCTAATTGCATAGCCTTTGTAGTGTTAACCATGCTTTAATCCGTATCAACCTGTCAAAATTGTTTAATTATCTGATAGGTGAAGTTTGATTTATTCCTTACAAAAGTACCAGTAAGATAGCACTAAGGTTAATCACACAGATACAGAAATAGAGAAACTATTGTAATAAACTCCTCTGTATAAACTAGACAAGGCCTGTTTCAACATTGACACTCAACATATTCCCATTATCATTAAAAACGAGCAAACAATTTCGCTGATTTCTTAAACAGGGTATGACAATAAAGTTCTAATATTTGATCACGACATTGAGTCCACACATGCCATTGAACAATGGGGTGGGCCAGTCATCTCTCTACATAACAGATGATATCCTCACACCGACACACAAACGGTCTCACCACAAAATCCACGCAGATTTATAAAGCGTTACACACAGGGATCAATTCGTATTATTTTCTTATCTTTATGAGGTACACTGGTTTGAACTGTGAATGTGCGTAGATTACGACATTAAAAATGAATGCATCAGACTAATTTTGAAGATAAGTCGAGGGAAATTGTGAAAAATACCTTTAAAACTATTTAAGTCTCTGTAAATGTAACAACCAGACCCAAGTACACCAGAAAATAGCAGCATGTCTTATCAGCTTATAGATTTTGAGAGAGTTCCCTAAACACGCTGGCTTTAATTATAAAGCCATGTAAACACTATATATTAACCGAGAAAAGAGTGCTACAAATGTACATCTTCCCGCTTAAGACGTTCTGAGACATAATCAATCTACTCGGGTTTAAACACGCCTAGGAGAGACATTAAGCAAAAGGGTACCAACAAGTTTAAACGATATTATTATCATTATCACTACTGTAAAATAAGCATGTATTTGAGTCCGTTTTAATAGAAGTATTTCATAAATTTCTCATGTTGCAACGCATTTTATAGAATTATAGATGTTCAAAATTTGAATGTTTGTAAATATAAATATGAAAAAAAACCACCCAGAAAAACTGCAGAGGTCGAATTCATGACCATTATAAATTACCAAGAATACACTTAACATGTATTGACACACAGTAATTATGAACGCACAGACAATTAAAATAAATGTCCAGTTTATTGGCCGCCAAGACTATCAGAAAAATAAATCATTGAAAGGTACATTACTTAACATGAGAAGTTATTCAATGGAAGAAAGATCCTTTTGGTTGCTTCATCTTGTATTTGGAAGGGACAATATTGTGTAAAACCTCCAATACACTTAACCTCTATCCTTGATATACGACGATTAAAGACTAATAAAATCAATGTCTCATGTGGGGTATTGATAAGGGCATACGAAATGTAAGGATGGAATTATCAGCGGGGACCAAATGCTCACGGAGGTTCTCTGATTAATATTTTTATCACGAGGGATAAAACAGGACAAAACAGTCCCCTGAACACAAAAGATTGCGGCAATGATTCTTCCGCTTTCTCTGAACCAGTACAAACAAAAATTCCTATCTTAAAGTACGTCCATCTTGGAATTTATTCAAGAGAGCAGACAAGTTGTAACTACATTACATGTTACTGCCCTTGACAAAAATTAATTCTGCAATAAGTTTCTCGTGCAAGCGAATACACTGCAGGAAATACGTATCTTTGTCTGAAATGCCTTAACATCGAGATTGTTATGCTAGCTGTCAATGAAAATCGTGAACTTTATTGCCATAGCCACTGACCCTACGATTATGGGACAAATTGTAACAAATATGTTTCAAAAATGACAGGTCTTTTGGTATGAACACAGTCCAGTATGATTTCGATTATTTTAGATATTGCAGTTGCCGAAAATTTGTCCAGTGCGTTATAATAAATAGAGGCATATCTCTCAATTAAGAAATGCCGGTAAGGTTCGTAAGTGGCAGCCAGAGCGACAGCTTCGAGTTAAGGTTCACGTATCCCTTTCATAGCCACAATATAAAGCTACCAAATGAAAAGGGCATTGAAAATGCTATACATTACATATCACGTCTTAATCATGCGCAATGACTTGGCATTACTAAGATACGTCTGAAATAGGGGATAATAAGGGGGTTGTTGATAGTTGCCTTCTTACAAGAACTTCGACCATAAAGCATTAAACAAATACTGAATAAATCACCCCATCAAGTTCGAACCAAGCTTCTTCTAATTAGCTGGGTTATATAATTAACACATACAACTTCCCAAATGTTCAATCCAAATTCAGTACTTTTTTTAACTCATGAAACCCTTTAAATATCTATACTTCTAAGTACAGGTATCAATGACAGGTCTATACAGGCCTGTCAGTCCTTTTTTATAACTGAATACCCTTATCTTATATGAAATTATTATACTACCCTTGTTATCACCCACTGCACCTGTAAATAATTTTCACTAGTTATTGAGAAACAAGTCTTCTTCAATACCTCCTAATGCAACCGGAAGTGAAGTGGGTAGAATTAAGAAGCACCTCAAGAAGCGACTGACGCTTACAACGGTGTCACAATCAATGAACCAATGAACCAAAGCGTGTCCACATATATTAAGGCAGCATAAGGGTGTCTCTTTAAAAGTGTCCTAAGACTTAAATGGCATCATCTGGACACAGTAGCATTACAACCTATATCTGCTAATGATATTATCTTACATTTGTCAATCAACAATATTCTAGATAATGACTACTTATTATGTTTTATTTCGATAATGTTCTGGTAAGTAAAATACGAACATCTGATTTGACTGTAAAAAGTATTTCGTCAATAAAGTTTACTTTAATTTAATATTCAAAAGCTATTAATTGATTAATATATTTTAATATGAATTTCAATTTAAACTGCAAAGATTCATATGACATTTGGAAACGAATTATTGTCAACAATCTTATTTGTAACTTTTCTATTAAAGGAACAAAAAATATCAAAACACACAATTCTGCCAATATGTATTATTTATTTAAATACAATTCAAATAAATGTTTATTTACAGTATGTCTTTTCAAGATAATTCCTTATATCACTGTATTGTCAACTAATTCCTAGATACTATACAGCTTGTCGTTAGGTTACATCAAAAGACGTCACTATTAATCGTACGGCGATTTGAGGCTTACGTAAACAGCTAAAATAAACAGCACCCCGCTGTTCAGTTTAAGGAAAGTGTTCTCGATAATTTAAGATAGCGATTCGTGATCTTCAAGAGTTTTGTTTCGTTACAATACCAAAACAAAAGTATCATCCCTTGCATGTGTCGGCAAGGAGGTCTTGCAGGACTTCATGATTACCGATCAGTTTCTTAGGTTTGGAGGCCGTTAAACGTGTCACTAGATGTGTTTTGGGGGGTGGGAGGTGGGGGGGGGGG